TGCTCCATAGATAGAGACCAGATTAACCTATGCAGTCCTTTATTTGGACCTTAGCAACGCAGAAAGATTAGCCTGGCCTGTTCAGCAGTTACCTTTTTCAGCTAACTAAAAGCTGAAAAGTAGAGCATAGATTATGTGTGAAGGACTTGTAGACAAGGCTTTTGTCTTAGGGATTGAATCCTTTGAGAGACACAGGAGTTGGATAAGGCTCTTGAGAACAGTGCATCTCACCAGAAGCCCTGAGGAAGGATGAAACAAAATATATTGAGCCAGGGAGATTTCAGGTGGGAAGCTAACTAGAGCAGTAGTGAATGTTACTTTTCCTACAAACAGGGCAGGGCACAGGGCTAGATCCCTGAGCCATAGAGGATGCCTGCCATTGGCTTCCTATTTGTCCTGTGGCTGGAAGCATATGACCTTGTCTGGCTCATTGGCTTACCAGTGTAGAAAGAGTACTTCTATGATGAGTCACACCTTCTTTGACTTGGAGGATGCACTTTGAGGCTTCTGAGCTAACAAGGTTAGGTATGAGGCCTGGCTTGGTACTATGCTATGTTGAGACTTTGGGATGTGATGAGTATTTTACATATGGGATGGGGTCCATGGGCAGACTGAGATAGAGTAATGCCTCTCACATCAAACATGTCCAGGTACTCACCCTGGAAGCTGTGAATGTTACTTAGCACTGACAAGATATAAAGTTACAGGTGGAATGAAGGTTGTTGTAGCTGATATGGACATGGAGGTGACCCAGGTCCTTAGTGGACAATGTCCATAACAGTGGGCGGGGCAGCAGCCAGTAGGACTAAAAACAACAACACAGTGACTCAACCTGAAGCTTCTGTTTGGAAGGCAGAGGCGAGGCTATGAGCAAAGGGATAGTGGGGCCTCGGGAACCTCAGGAACTCCAGGATGGCCTCCCCAGGTAGGAATACTCCTCTCTCATCTTCCTGAGGGTTCCACACCCTTGGTGACCACAACCATCCTCTGCCTTTTTTTTTTTTTTAAACACTAAACTTCACCAGGAGACTTGGGCTAGCGGATAGTGGTATCAGTGGAGGATAGGCATTGAGCCTTAGGAGAATGAGACACTTGACAAGGATCCATCAGCCAGGTTGACTGTCCATAGTGAGCCAGAATTAAGGTGTTGATGAGGGTGTACAACAGCCAACCCTAAAGCTCACCTGAAGGGTTTTGAGGCCCCGTTCTCCAAGGAAGTGTGCCATTCTGCTCTCAGAAGATAACATGAGGCCTGGGGTAGCTTACCATGGTAGAGGTTGGGTTTTTCAGCATCTGAGCGTACCAGGCTATGCTTCACACACACACACACACACACACACACACACACACACACACACACAC